ATGGATGGATGGATGGATGGATGGATGGATGGATGGATGGATGGATGGATGGATGGATGGATGGATGGATGGATGGATGGATGGATGGATTGATTTACATTAGCTGTGAGAAGCTTACGGCACKTCATGGTCCGTAACACTTGTTTACAYTCTGCTGCTGCTCAGCATCACCTGCAAAATGACAACTGCAAAAGTTGAGAGAAAGCAGCATTGTCTACTTTGGGATTTCTTTGAATATGACTGGGAGAAAAATAAAAGCAAGTGTCTTGTAGTGGAATCAAGTGATAAAATAGGTGGAATACTTCAAGGGAAAAACTAAATTAATCAAGCTCGCACAAGATGGCTACGTATGTCTGTCTATCTTGATACACTAGATTCTCTCAGTAGCTCCCATGAAAAACAAACAGGTAGCACCGGGTTGGAGACAATTATTGTCATCATCCTAAATTAATCGTCCAAGTCCTTAGTTAGCAAAATTAAGTTACGCAATTATTTTAGGAAGGTGTCGCTATGATGTACTGCTTTAACTAGCGACCAAATAGCTGCTGGGTAGTTAACTAACAGGAACACCTCAAGCTGGAGGATGCATTGGCAAATATGTTTATTCAAACTATAAAAAAACAAATTAGAATTAATAAAAACTAAACTAAAAGTAACCATTAAAAATGCAATAWTAAATAAAAACTAGCAAATCCACAGTAAAACTAATTCAAACTAACTGAACTCAAAGAAAAAAAGTCACAATGAAATAAAACTATATAATGAAAAATCCAAAACTATAACCTTGAATCAATGAAAAGAAAAAAAAAGAGCAAAAATTCCTTTTTCATAAACTAGAGGATGTTTGAAACTTTGGCCATGGAGGGCTGCATTCTGGGTTTTCTCKGAGTTCTCTTGCTCTTGGTTAGTTTTATTTTAACTGAAAACATTACACTTGTTTTATTAATACAAATATACACAGTATAAAACAACTGGCTGCAAAAACATACAGTTGTATTTTAACAAAAATATTCACCCTTTGCAACTACATCAGCTCATCAAGTGGAGGCACTGTGACGGACGCTGGACGGGAGAGAGTGGAGTAGTGAACAAAGTGGCTGTGATTATTTTCCCAAGTTGTTTTTGCCAGTATAGACATGGATGTTTTAGGTAGAGGGCTTAAACTTTTCATTTTCATATGAAATTTCCCATTAAGTGGAACTTTTTCAGGAGGTGGAACAGATATGATGAGTTCCTGCTGCTTTATCTTTTTTTCAGGTTTGATTAAGTTCTACCTGAGTTTAATGGGCAAATTTTACAAAAATAAAACTGATTAAAGTCTAGTTAAATTTAACATGTGAAATGTTCAAACTGGATAGATGCTAATAAAATTCAACAGGTGAAACATAGTAAATTTAGATATTTCAGTTGATGAATACAGATCAAGAAGCAGAAAGTGCAAACCTCACCTATTTGACATCGAGCTCCTTGCCATCCTCCAACACAGACGCATTTGTTGACATCCACACATCGTCCTCCGTTCTGACAGGCAGGAGTGCACAGAGCTGTAAAAAAAACACAGTATACCTGATTATTACAGAGAAAAAATGTTTTTTTTAATGATTTGCATCTGTTTAAGTCCAAGGTTTTGTGAGAGGGACCATCTGGTKAATTATGCCTCTGAAAATCTAAAGACATTTAGGCTGTAAATGCAGTCAAACAAACATTAACTAGAATACGTTCTGCATGCATGATGTAACTGATGATAAATATGTAGGTTTGTCACAGTTAGCAGGACATTCTCAATCAAAACAAAATGCTGTTGTGGCAGTGACACAAACACAACTCAAGAAGTCCACAAGGAGACATTAGGAGGACAAGGACAGAAAACTGAGTTTAGGCAGACAAAATAGGCCGTAGCTAATGAGAGGAAGTGGCTGCAGCTGTGACAGGGGGACAGGCGAGGATGGGCCTGGTAAGCTGAGTGGAAATGTACTGACAGAGAATAAGTGGCTGGTGGCTCATTGGAACACACAAGGACTAAACAAATTAAAACACAAATAACAGAASTGAACGCAAGAAACACTTAAAACAGAAAATAACAACCACAACGTGATTTAACCCAACAATAAACACAAAGGATGAACATAACACTAGGTCCTGACAAAAAATTGTTATACTCACGAATAAGGCACTGCGGGCCAGTGTAGTCAGAGGAACACTGGCAAGAATTGGGGCCCACACAGTGACCACCGTTAGCACAGGGCAACTCACACACAGCTCGGAGAGGAACAAGACACAAAAAATTATCAAAATCCATCACTTAAGGATYAATAGAAATGTAAAAGTTTTATTACATAAACCAAGAGCTCTAGAGCAACTAAAAGCATAAAATACCTTAGTACATGCATACAGTGATTAGTTTGTAACAAGGGTACAAGGATAAGATGGTGCTTTTTTAAGAATATTTTTCTTTATACCTGTGTGGCAACCTGTTCCTGTCCAACCAGAAGGACACAAACACATGTCCCAACGCATGCAGGTGCCTCCATGAGCGCAGGGTGGAGAGCACATGGCTGAAATACAACCAGCACAGGCTGAATAAACCCACAGAGCTATCAGTTTATGCATTAACTTTTATTAATATGATCAAAAATAGAATGAATAAATTATAAAAGAAGCAAACAAAATGTGATCAGTGGAAATGGACAACAGATCCAGTCCCTTTTACTTTCTTGGTTTTATTTCTTCCAAATTTAACTTCTCATTTAACAAAAAAAATTAATACAAAGGCCAAAATGAGAAAAAAAGAAATAAACATACATGGTATTGTACAATCTTTTGTTATAAATAGACAAAAACAGTTTGTTGTAATTTGCCATTTTTGGCACTGTTTCACACTGGCAATAAAAAATATAAATGGTGGGAACAGTTCTGCTTTTCCACTAATTAAGCAGATTAGCTGTTTTGCTAACTTTGGAAACTGTTACCGGGCTCATTAGCTACTGCTAAATTAGGCGTGTCAGCACCTAGCATGTAGCATCTTTAGCAGCTAAACTTCAAACTAAGTGCCAAAAAGAAATAAAACACCATTTTTACATAATTTAAATAACAAATAAAATAACTGACTATGTATAAAATATGGTAGACAAAGTATTTGCTATTTTCTGTTGATTTTTGTTTAGCAGATTAGTAGTTAGTGAACCTTTTGGTCTGAAAAAGTAAAGAAACACTTGCTTTATCTTTTTTTTTTTTAAAGATAACCAAAAACTAAAACATATTTGATCACTTTGTGGGTGTGGAAGCCTGTACCTGAGCAGCCCACACCAGGATAACCTGGAGGACAGTCACAGCTGTTTGGCGCCACACACACTCCGTAGTTCTGACACGGTGGGTCACACACAGCTGGACAGGAAGAAAATATGTTTAACATCATGTTATAAGCATTTTAAAAAGCAGAAAGAGTGCAGCAACCTTTCATTTCCTAAACATTGTGATAGAGAGAGAAAGTTTTGGTCACTGAAAGGCATGATGGGTGACTCACGTCGACACTTAGTGAAGTCATCCGTCCGGACTTCATAGCCCACCCTGCAGGTGCAATTAAAACCACCYGGATGGTTCACACAAAGCTGCTCACAGCCTCCCTTTGTGAAATCTTCACACTCATTCACATCTCATGAGAAGAAGACAGATGGGCACACATTTCAAGACAATTCATACAGAAAGCCTATCATTTTGTTGGGGGGTATAAATTAAAGTCACATTTCTTCCTTTTTAAAATCCTTTGATTAGCAAGCCCACGATCGATACCTACATTTGAGAAAACTTTTCTGTATTACAGCTTTTCTACAGGACGAAATGTTTACAAACGTTCACGATGATTTACAACAAATTTTGACATCTGAGGAAACTGAGGACTGCTGTGGCGTTCTGTGTGATTAAAATCAAATAAATCAACTTGGACTGAGCTGTAAGAATGAGCTGTTCTATTTCAGAAGCAGGAAAAAACAATAACAACAATRCTCAAATATGTGAAGTGAAGAGTCACCTACGCAGCTCCGGGTGTCGTCACTCAGCCTCCAGCCGGCTCGACAGACACACCTGACTTGGCCCTCAGTCATGGTGCAAACATGGTCGCAGCCGCCATTTCTCAGTTTACAAGATGTAACATCTGTTCAGGTTTATAAAAACAAATTACACGACTTAATATTTGTATTTTTCCAAACTGCTCAAATTACAACAGTTTAAAAAAATAATTTCTTGCTCTGACTAAACAAACCCTATAGGATAAATTACTACAACAGCACTGATGAATAATCCAATGAAGTTCAGTGTGTCTATACATATAATAAATCTTTAATTTTCTTAGTTACTAGACACTTAATTTTATGTCTCTTCAGACATACCTGGCATGTTTCGACGTATGCTACTGTCTGCACCACTGCCGAAGACAGAAGCATATGTRGAAACATGTCAAGTATGAAACATGTCACGAGAACCTACTGCTGCAGCTGATGCCGTCTGTGCCTAAAAGCAGGGCGGGTGGGCACTGGCAAGTGTTTCCTCCTGGAAAGTTGGTGCAGGTGTGTGAGCAGCCACCGTTCTGGAGTTTGCATTCATCAATGTTTATATCCACAAATACACACACATACAGTTTAAAAGAAGAGGACAAATGTTGAGCTTATTTCTAAGATTTCACGTCTTTCTTGTTATTAGTACCACCAGGGATGGCTGGTGTATGTAGGTTAGTAGGGCTAAGCCCTCATTGGTGTTTACAGTAAAAATGTTAAAATATCTAATAAACACATATTGTATCACATTTTGTGAAATTTACAACAAAACTGGAGCCACACAATCTGGAGAAAATCCCAGTCTTCACATTCTCGTTCATTTCATGTCTTTCCTGGTGCAGAATGATTGACAGACATCTTGTCCTGCCTCCTCGGTTTGCTGCTCATTGAAGCTAATTTCGTACAGCCCAGGGTCAGCCCAAGGCCACAGGCTTTAACCAATGAGGGTGGACGWACAATAAGGTGATTCGAGCACGAGTGTATGTGGGCATGGCTTGGCGTAGACTGAATAGGTACGGTGGCGAACTAAATTAACATAAACAAAGTACCGGTGGGGCTTGGGTCCCTTGGCCCTGTCGGACCTTGGCCTGGGGACCGGGCCTCTGTGTCCATGCCTGGATCTGCTCTGGCGCGGTGGGTGCGGGCGGGGCCTGTGAGCTCGTTGCTGCTGGCCCCAGGGGTTTAGTGTGTGTGGTCGCTGGTGGGGCTCTCCCAGTTCTTTCCTGTGG